CCTCTATTCTCAAGACATTCGATGACGGACAGCAGGCCAGACGCTACTCTCAATTTGAATTTATAGTCCTCTTCAAATCTTCCTGGTTTGATTTTTTCGACAAATAAACTCTGCGCGGGAAAAACGAAGCTAGACAGGTCAGCACCGCGATCCAAGAGCACATCTACGTGATGCGGACTAAGATTGGCAACAGCCAATTGCAGCGGCGTTCGATCCAACTTGTCGCGAGCGTCGACCGGCACCGTCAGCTGAAAGTCATTGTTGATGTCGAAAAATTTTTGCACCGCGTCATCATACCAAAATCCGTCGCAAAAAATGTGCAACGGAGTCAATCCCTTCGCATTGGCCAAATTAGGATTGGCGCCTCTCCTTATCAGCATTTCGGCCCCTTCCCAGTTGCTGCGCTGCAGAATTTCGTGCAGTGGTGTTGTACCACATTTGTCCTGGACATCAATCTGTACCGGCAGATATTTTTCGTTGCTAAGCTCGAATAACATTTGCGCCAACTGATTGACCAAATCGAATGTGTTGTACTTGCTTACAACGTGCAGAGGTGTGCGTCCCTCCTCATCCTGTAAATTCGGATTCGAGCCTCTTCTCAGCAGCATTTTAGCCACTTCTTTTCTGTCGTACGTCATAGCCAAGTGCAGAGGTAATTTGCCTGTTTTTCGGACGGGGAAATTGGGATCCTGTCCGTGGTCGAGGAATTTTTCGACAATGTCGTCACAGCCAGCCATGCAGGCCGCGTGATAGTGTGTGAATCCAAATTCATCCGAGTAATTCACGTCGATCCTGTTGTAGATCTTAAAAAGATCACTAATCACGGTATTCCAGTGACGAGGCGTTCTTCTAGTCGCGTGGTGAATGGGTGTAGTGCGATGCAACAGTAGATTGCCGTCTTTATCAACTTTGGGCTCGTCCTTGTAGCCGGTGCGAACCACGAACGCAACGTATTCGTGTGCGTTAAAGTTATTGATGCCGCTCATACAATCTGAGAGAAAACACTCGATTTCTTCGGGGCGAAAAATGTCCCGGAGGTTGGGAAGTTGGTCCGACCAACCTATGGTTAAAGGCAAAAGTGAAGGAAGCATTTTTCGTCGCTCATCTTCGATCTCCCAATTGGTTTTTTCACGTAAGATCTTTAATTCTTCTATTTTTTTATTTTTGGTACTTGGATGGAATTCGATGGAAAACATGTTTATGGTTTTGCGCACTCAAACACAACACAATAACTTATAATTTACACAAAAATTACTGAACGCGCTCGATATGATCTTCCAAGCTGTTCACGCAGCAGCGTTGTAACGTGTACTGACTGTTGCATTCACTATGTTCTATTGGGATCTGATATCGATATATATTGGTATATTAAACACATGGGACACTCGGATCATCGACAGTCATGTTTTTATGTATATAGGTATATAACCTATGTTAAAACTCGGATCATTTCGTGTTAGGCACGCCTCCATCTCAGATCCCAATACATTAGAAAGTAAAAAAACACATGGTTGAAGCTATTTACGGAATGGATTTCCGCTTTCTAACGGTTACCGAATTAATGCGATTCCCAGTATACGTTAACTGAAACGGCCAACGAGCACTCCTTACTCGACAATCCATTTGCAGATACTCGCAGCTAGTTTAGGAACATCATACTCGATATCGAGTATCGTCTCATCATAATTATAGTAGGGCCCACTTTGATTGGTGGCGAGACTGTTTACTCGAGCATCGTCGAGGGCGATTTGCACGTTGTCGTGTGCGCGCTACTCGACCATCGAAAACCATGACGGTAATTTAGCAGCGCCACGGCGGTTTGAGTGACGGTCTCACGATGCTATGTGCGGTTCACTCGTTCGTCGTTTCAGTGTGTCGTTTGATCGAGCTAATGAAAACATTTGGGTACACGTGAAAGGGATTAATTCGTAAAAGATGAAGAACGTAAACTACCAAACACTATACAGACTAACCCCACAGGAGGGCGTGCTGCTTGGCCTTTTTTGAAGCTGCTTTACGAAAAGCGGTGTAGATCTGCACTGTTTTTCGTAGTGCACGGTGTTTTAGTGTAAAAACCTCAATAAGTATGCCGCAGTGGCTAAAAAGTTTACAAATGATCCATTTATTTTTTGTTTTTGACCTTCAGGAATCCGAATATGACATTACATTATTTTTTACCCTAACGCCTGGCATCAGAGTGAAAATCGAGGGTAAACGTGTTTTTCGCATGAAACTTCAAAACTAAGCAAGATACAAGAAAATTGATTTCACTCATCGATTCCTCGTGAAATTTTATAATAATTTTTTTAAATTAACCATTTGACTCAAGCTCATAGGAATCGCTTGCCTCAACTATTAGGCGCTTGCACAAAAAAATGTTGTTAAAGAAAATCATTCATTTAGCTCTATCACCATCTTTCAAATCGACTTACATAATTCATTCCCGATACGATTAAAATTCCGCACGCGGACGATATCCTTTCATAATTATTATTTTTGCTCCGCCGACCGTACGCATTTCAGTTGATTATCGTCGAGTTAGCTGTCGCCACCTGACGATCGATCGTCGTGCCAATCGAACTCATCGCGTACTTACTCATTGTATTATTATATAGCCTTCGTCGCGACGAGTCGAGACTTTGAACCGAGAGCTGAGAGTCGGAGCCTGTGCTCGAATAATTAGTTAATTACGCGACGGACGCTCGAGGACAAACACTTGCCTGTCAACTCGATCGATACGCGTAGCAAGTTGCTCAATCGCTCGACGACGCGTTCCCGCATAATCGCAGCACGTCGAACCTCGCCTCGAACCTATATTGTGCGACATTTAAAACAATTTCTTCGATCGTACATTAATCGATAAATCTATTTTGTTTGCCGAAAGAGTTAATCATTGAAATTGCGATCAAGTTTCGTGCGTAAAACAGAGTTTTTCAAAATGATTGATTTCAAAAGCCCAAATATTTTTAACGATGCAATGAAATGTCAGGCAAGCATTATCAGATTTAATCGTAAAATAAAAAAAATCTTCATCCACGTAAAATGACTGAGATTCGTTAATTTCTGAATGACGATTATTTAATTTTAATTTTAAAAAATGTCTGCCCCTGCACGTTATTGGGTCAAAAGTTTCAAATTTCTACCTCAAATTATGTGTCTCTGCTATGTTCGCGAGGCAACGACATTAAATAATGAAAAGCGGGTGTCGTGCAATCGGCTAACAGGATCGATAAGAGGAACGATCAGGAGACACAGAACACTGTTGAAGCCGAGGTCGAGAAAAAATCAACGTCGTGCTTGCAGACAACGAAGCGCGAGGAGAATAACAAATAGGAAGTGGCAACTAAGCCCCATTGGTAGCGATGGTATAATATTTTCACGGTGTCAGATTCTGCACGTCACAATTGGCAAAAGCTTTGGAAATCCTCGCTGTCTCAATAGTAGCTCAATGCAAGCTCTCAATTTCAAGTTAAACTCACTGCCGAAGTTGGCGCGGGTACCAGTCTCAGACGTCAACGTTTTGCAGCATGCCTCGTGGAGTTGCGCGAAACGCACACGGCAATACGTCGCGCGACTATACAGTTGAGATTAGCCGAGAAAGAGAGAGAGAAAGAGAGGAAGAAAACTCGGAGCGGAAGAAAGAGCGCGCATACATCACGCCAGCAACGATGCGATTCTCCGTTCATATTTAAATGTATCTAAAAACGCCGGCAGATACCATCGAAATTGACTCGGACAATAAGTAATAACGCGACGATCGAGTTTTTGCTGCAGCAGCGCTTACACCGCAATGCGAATCGCGGGCTCGAGCTCCAAGTGGGCAACTCGGCGCGGGCTCGATTCTCGGGGATTTTACTCGATCGTGCGCGCACGCGATGACGCGTCGAGGCGCGCTTCGATAGTGTCACGCACTCGGTCGCTGGCAAGGGCGCGGAAATCGCCCAACGCGACGATCTTGCTCTCACGCCAAGTGCAGCTACTCTCTGCATCAGCGTTAGCCAGTCAGCCAGTCGCAGAGTGCAACGAACCCGCCGCGCTGCTGCTGCTGCTGCTGCGCGTTATGTATATTGTGCTCGCTCGCTCGTCTGCTCATACGCATGTCGTCTATATGTGCTCGCGTTACGGAGCAAGCCCACGTATATACAGTCGCTCCTTCTTCTCTTCCTTCTCTCCTCTTTCCTTTGCCGATAGCAGAATAGACGTAGCATCTATAATATAGCCTATCTCTCTCCATTCTCTCTTTCTATTGCTTGCGCTTACTTTTCGACTCTTGTGCTGAACCGAATACTCGCATCGACTCAAAGCTCGACGACGTCGTATAATATATCTTTTTCGTATTCTCTTTCTCTCTGCGGCTAGTGTGTGCGCGATCGAACGATGCTCCAACAGTCGTCGGCTTGCTCTTTTCCCTCGACACGCTCTGCGTCGTCCTTCTTGGCCTGGTACCGGTACACAATCTCACGGTATTTTCTAAAACATTTTATCTAGCGCTTACTCAATAATGCTTTGCGTGCTGAATCATACGAACAAGTACAGACTTTTATTTTATGAAAAGTCAATCTCCCTCTGGTTTACGTCAATTTTTCTCTCTCCTTTTTTATCGACAAAGATTTTTATGCAAACAGAATATTTAGAATATTTAGAAAGCTCCGCTCAAAAAAATTTTCAAAGATTTAGGTTGATCATTTTTAAATAATCAAGTATACAATGTCCCATGCGTCAAGTGACTAATACTCAATCGAGTGTCACGAATAATAAGTCAATTAAATTTTAAGATGTCACACTTCAAGTTGGAACTTGCTCGTCCAAATTTTCCAAATTACGAGGCTTTGGCCTCTCTTGCATCGTCTCTACTCAAAATAGTGAATCGAGAAGTAAACTCGTACGCCAGGCACTGGCATCTATTATTTATAACGGCTGACTTGCGGATCTAAGAATAATATCCCAAATATCGATTCAGAAATGGAAGTTAATAGCATTTACTTTTTGTCGTATTTCAGCCTGAACAAGATGCACACGATGGAAGGAGACGAGAAGAAAGCGCAAGACTCGCCGGTGGATCTGAAGCAGTGCGCCGCGGACGCCGAGCAAGAGCTCAACAACAAATCGCCAAAAATGCCACAGAGCCAGCAGAACGGCGCCGCGCTGCCCGAAGAGGCTGCCAGCGCCGAGCGGCTCATCGGCAACGTGACCCTTAAAAAGGAACCGCGCGACTCGTACGATGCCGGCAAGCAGCATTCTCAGGTAAATATTTGCCGCCCCCCTCGAATTCGCTTCAAGTTGGGCTCGGATCTATGCTCGAATCAACTATATTATTCTATTCCACGACAGTCGTTTCAAGCGAAATCGCCAAAGATGCACGCCGATCAATCGAAGCTCGGCCGAGCCGGTGCCGGACAGCAGCAGCGAGGCATCTCCACAAAGTCTTCCCCCTTCGATGACTATCATCATCAACAACAGCAACAACAGCTGACGTCTCCCTATCGGGAAACGAGAAAGCGACGCTCGTTGGAGTCGAGCTGCCACGCCGTGCTGTCGGCCAACGGCAGCCCAAGCCCCAAGAAATTCTGCACCGATCAGCGCGAGCAGTACATCAACTCGCTCATCGGCTCGGACAAATTCAACGCCGAGCAATTGGCCGCCAGGGCCGATCAGCTTCGCGCCGAAGTGCAGGTTGGTTGACGACGAATTTATGTAGATAGTATAGGCTCGATCGGTCGTTCATCGACACCCTTCTTATCCGACAGGACTTGGACGAGCTCGCGCGTGCCAAAGAGATGGAGTGGAACGAGATTTTGAGCATGCGCAAACTCAAAGAAGAGGCGTATCTGCGAATCGAGCGCCGTCGACAGATCATGGGCTTCATGGAGAGCAACGGCACCGACGCTGCCCTGCCTCTGGCCAGTCTCTCGCTGGCTCTGCATCATCAACAACAACAACAACAGCAGCAACATCAGCAGCAGCAGCAGCAGCAGCAAGAGATGAAAAAAGAGGATCGCCATTCTCGAGCGAGCAGCAAAGCCACTGCCAATTATCATCCTCCAAACAAACAGCAGCATCAACAACAGCCAAATCAGCAGTTGCTCGAGAACGGACCAAAACAGCAGCAGCTGCTGGACCTACAGAATTCCGAGCACAATCGGCAGATCGGCGAAGGCAGACAAGGGGCCATCGTCGACGTGCGCTCCATCATCGCCGATTACAGACTGCGCCATCCCGCCGAGACCGTGCCCAAACGGTCAGTAAGGAATTACCGTGATTCTTCATCATCATGCATGTCACAACAATTTTCCAACCCGAGCCAGCCGATGGTAACAACGGCGGCCGCGTCGCCGCGCGATTATTCTTACAGTCGGGGCAGGAGAATGAGAAATTCCGTCAACGTCGGGCTCGGCGCCGGCGGGGCGATGGTCGAGACTCTCGGCGGCATGGATTCAAGGCCATCCAGCACCGATTCCTGCAAGAGTAACACCAACAACCTCGTCGATCCCAATACCACCATGAGCTTCAAAGACGTGTTGGTTCAGTTCGCCAAGCTCAGCCAACAACAAGGTAAACTTGAGCGATCGATTATTTTATGTCACCGAGCATTGCAAAGCTCAATAGACTGAGAACATTCCGTTTTGTCATTCTAGGGGAGCCTATAAAAACACCTCAAAATTATCCGGACGTGACTCTTCATCCGGTTGTTCCGACTCCGACAACGGCGGCGGTCACTTCGTCACAGAGCTCTAATCCGCCTAGCTCGGGTTCGCTTTTGCACGGAATCCTCACAAAATCCCAGTCGCCCAGGCCTACGACGTTTTCGCCGACTCTCGCTCGACTTCTCACGGCTCCGGAAAGAGAGAGAAATTCTTCGGCTAGCATAACGAATCTTCAGCCAAGCAACGCACATCTTGCACATGCCTACCAAGGTGCCAATCCAGTATCCATAAGTAACTTTTTGTCTTCTTCGAAGGTGACTACATTTTCTATTATTGAATGCCATCTTAATAAAGCTTCTTTTAACTAATTGCCTCTTTATCTTTTTTGCATACTACTAGGCTCGGACTGAAATTACAATAACGCCAGTGGTCAACAATATGTCGCAATCTCAGGCCAATAACTTGATTCACGTCGTAAGTATACCGAATCTTTATCATTAGTAGAACTGTATCAGTGCATTATCAATAGCGCTTAATGATAAAATATATATTTCTTTATAGGATGATGGCGACGATGAAGTAATTGAAGAGAAAGATAGTAGACTATCCATGGGAGCTCGTGATAACAAAGAAGATAGAGAGGTTCCTCCTCGATGCCAAGGTTGTCATGAACGAACTGCTCAATTCGTATGCGCAGGTTGCGGGAATCAGTGGTACTGTAGCCGAGAATGTCAGGTAGGTTTTTGTTTTGAATGGTAGCAAATTTTACGCTCACCTTGAGCAATATAAGTGATCTGATCAACTTTATTTATTGTAGGTTGCAGCTTGGGACGATCATTCTGAAGTATGTTCTGGGTAGAATTGAAAATGAAAGCCAAAAAATGTTAAATTAATCTAGTCATAAAAAGCAGCGAAAAAATATACCCACGCATATTTTATTGATATTTATTATCAATATAAAAATTGAATACGATCAGTGTGCGTTTTATATTTTTACGAATCTAATCGTGAGATTAGAAAATTTAAGTGAATACTTAGTCTGAACCATATTCAAATATCGAGCTTGACTAGACTTAACACGATTTTCTTGGATAACAGAAAATTAAAAGTAATCATTTACTTAATGAATAAGGTTTTCTTTGTTACCCTTGTACGCCATTTCATTTAAATATAACATCTTGATGGTTGTAAAATAAATTATTAACGCCACGAGGTCTTGAACGCGAAAGCAATTCAAGAAATGGCTTCAGCGCATGTTGTAATATTTGTATCTTACATTTTTAATTCATTGTAAATACTTATCTTCATTTTTACGAAAACATAGCATGAAAATTAGGGGCCATGGGTGAAAACAAAAGCATTAGAAATTAATGAAAATTTAGTAATATTGTTTCAAGGTCAAAGTCTTACAAATACTTATATGCGTTAAAGTTAACTCGAACATTTGCCATTTTGCATTGCCAATCATTTATTTTACATTCAATTTCAAATAAATGTGTTGCACTAATGAAACATTATGTTAATTTGATCATCTTCAGATAGATTATTATATTCAGATTAATCATTTCCATTTGAATTTTGGTTTAGACTAGTTCAGTATATTGTGTAAATATATAAATTTTCAATACATGCTAATGTGTATATAAATATAACTCAAACCAAATAAGCTGTTTTTACACTATTCTTGTTACCAATATTGAAAATAAGATTTGTAAAACATCAATTTAAAAAGTAATTAACATATTTTTCAACATCAACAAATCAAGGTTTGATGACTACTTAGCGATTTATGTATCATAAGGGTTTTTTCATGTAATGTTGTCTCAGACACAATCAGTAGTCTAAAGTTCCTAATAGGGAACATAAATGTATACGTTATACATATGTAATTTACACACATCTATTTTTTCCTTCATGGAAGTAAACTGAAATAAAATTTTTAATCACGAACATGAATTAATTTGTTTTCTAATAATACATAAAAATTTACTTTAGAAACATAAAATTCCTACTTATTAAGGTGATGCCGAATCCACGATTTTTACCGACCAAGCACAGAAAATGTATATTTTCGTAACTTTTTTTCCAGGCTGATTCCCGAAAAATGGCTCTGTGGAGCCCTCCGTATTGAAGCTGTGAACAACTGTACTAAATTTCATCTAATTTCATTCAACAGTTTTTCCAGAAAACTGTTGAACAACTGTGACAAATTTCAGCCAATTTCATCGGATAGTTTTCCCGGAAAACAGGATCAAAATTTGCAAACAGTAATCCTCAGAGCCGTTTTTCGAAAATCGGTCTAGTAAAAAAGTTATTTCAATTTCAATTTTTAATGCTCGGGGGTCAAAATTGGGGCTTCGGCATCACCTTAATCTCGAAAAAAATAAATTAACAATTGTTTATTCTGCTATTGAAAAAAAATTGAAGTAACTTAAAAAACATTGAATAAAAGGTTTTCTTAATGATTCGTGCATTACACGTAGACTCTCCGTGTGCCACACGGCGCATCAAAATCAAGTCAAATTACTAAATAAATCTCTGTAAAAGTACTAAAATGCACCTAGAGAAAAAAAGAACCCATGATTTTAATGGGAAAATGCCTCAGCTTTCCGATGGTGAAGTCAGATTTTCCGAAATTTTCCACTTTAACCAGGAATAACGATGGAAAAACTTTAAAGTCGCTTATCTCAAAAACTTCATTTTTAAGATTTTTTCCAATAATCTAGATCGAAAGATGAGGAAATTGACCATCAATATAAACCTTTTCCAGATAAGCGATAATTGATTTTAGCTAGATAAAGCGAGAGAAACAAGAAAAAACTCGGTTTTTTGTTCAGTTAGTAACGTCCGACCGAACACGCACGCGATTTTCCGGAAAAAGCAGGAAAATTCGGCAAATCTGACCTCACCATCGAAAGAGCTGAGGCCATTTCCCATCAAAATCATGCATTCGTTTTTTTCTCTAGGTGCATTTTAGTACTGTTACAGCGATTTATAAAAAGTGTTTGTTGCACATATCTTTCTCAATATTCAAGGTATCGGGGCAGATTCACTGAATATAGATAGCGCGCATTCGCGCGAATCTTC